CTCAAAATCTCCTGCTCTACACAGCAGCAGCACCACACCACACCACACCACACAGACACACGCCAGCAGATCACCAAGAAAAACTACCAGTAGTGAACTGTTAACCAAAGAACTGCCACCTGAACTCCCAGCTGCTACCCAGCGAACTCGTGAAGCACAGTGGTGCAGATGGGTGGAGATGTGTATCCGAGCAGGCAGATGGGGTGACGAAGTAAAGAGGGATGTGACTGTGCCGTGCTTGCCGTGCAGATGGATGGAGGTGTGTATGGGGGCAGGCAGATAAAGTAACCAACTCAGAGGTGTGTATGGAGGTGTGTATGGAGGGGTGTCATTGTGCCCGTGCTCGAGTGGAGAGGATCACCAGGGCAGACGTGCAGATGGGTAGAGATGTGTATGGGGGCAGGCAGGCAAGCAGATGAAGTAACCAAGTGAAGAGGGGTGTGACTGTGCCCGTGTTCGAGTGGAGAGGATCACGAGTGCAAGCCGTGCAGATGGGTAGAGATGTGTATGGGGGCAGGCAGATGAGGTAACCAACTCAAGAGGGGTGTGACTGTGCCGTGTTCGAGTGGAGAGGATCAAGAGTGCAGACATGCAGATGGGTGATGTGTACGGGGGCAGGCAGATGAAGAAACGGAGTAAAACGGGATGTGATTGTGCCATGCTTGAGTAAGAGTGAAGGCGGTGCAGATGAATCGATTGTTGCTAACGATTTCAGGTTTCAGATGAAGAGCAAGGCAAATGATGCAGCAGAGTGGAATTGCAATGCAGCAGAAGGAATACCGAAGGCCGTGTGGATAGAGTATAAGGTAGTTGAGGAGAGGAAAGGTGGATGCAGAGCGGTGGCATCATGGGCACTTTTAAGTAGATGATGAGGGCAGCTTGATGAGTAGATGAAGGCAGCGGTTGATCAAGAGAAAACGGGAAGTAGGTGTAAGTATGGCAATCATTGAAAAGATGAGCTGATGATGTGAAGTTGAATGACGATTCAGGAGGCACTGGAATAGAGTGGTCGAGAAGAGGGAAGACGGGTTCAAGCAGATTGGAGAAGTTGAATGACGATGCAGGAGACAGTGAGATCGAGTAGTTTGGGAGAAGGAAAAAGGGTTCAAGCAGTAGGATAAGGCGCTAAGTATTTCGTTGATAAAGGCAGCTGGATAAGCAGATGACAGCAGTGCTTGGATCAGAAAAGTAGGGGGTGGAAGAAGATGGAAGTATGGCATGATGAAATTTTCAACTGAAACTGGTGAAGTTGACGACGCGGGAGACAGAAGAAAGAAGGGTTCAAGCAATGGGATAAAGTGCGATGTAATTCGTTGATGACGGCAGCTTGATAAGCGGATCGGTTCAGTAGGGAAAGTATGGTGATGATGGCACGATGGAATTTTCAACTGAAGCTGGTGAGAGTAGAATGACAATGCAGAATGCAGTGAGATCAAGTAGTCAAGGAGACGGAAGATGGGTCCAATCAGTAGACTAAGGAGAAGTTCAATCCGTTGATGATGACAGTTTGACGAGTAGATGTGATCGTCGATCGAGGAAAAGTAGGAGGAATGGCAGTTGAAAATAGGAAATATGTAAATGGAATCCGTTGATGAGGGCAGCTGGATGAGTAGATGAAATGCAGAGGGTGAAATGATGATGCAGGAGGCAGTGTATGGTAATCGATATGTATGGGGTAAGGAGGCCTTGATGAGAGCATTGAGAAGTAGAATGCAGTGGTTGATTCAGAAGCACAGGTTCGAGCAGTGGGATCAGCTGAAAGGTCAAGGAACAATGATGCAGGAGGCAGTGTATGGTAGTCGAGGATAGGGACGATCAGTCCAGAGCATGGGATAAGGAGCGATTCAATGCATTGATGAGGGCAGATTGAGAAGTAGATTGGAGGCAACGGTTGATTCAGAAAGGATGGGAGGCGATGATAGAGGATTGTCGCTATAAGTGTCATGGTTGGATATCAATTATGAACATTAACGATTGGATAACGGAAAAATGAGGAATTGAAAAACTGAGGCGATTGAAAGATGAGGAGATTAAAAGTGTTAAGATGACGTATGGAAGGTGACAAACAGAGGGTGTTCGTATGGAGAACGGAAGTATGAAACAATGCAGAATGAGACAATATGAAGGAGGATTGAATCAGAGGAGTGAACAATGGCCAATTCAACACAATGTAGGGAATGAGGTATTGGCAAGTCAATGAGGATCAATGGAGTGATTGAAAATTTAGTGATTGGATCAACCGAGAACTTTGAAAAGTGGCGTTGAGAAGTGACGTTGAAAAGAGGCGTTGAAAAGTAACGTTGAGAAGTGATGTTAGAGAAGTGACGTTGAAAAGTGTCGTTGAAAAGTAATGTTGGAAAGTAACATTGAAAGATAACGTTGAGAAGTAACGTTGAAAAGAAACGTTGAAAAGTGGCTTTGCAAAGTGGCTTTGAAAAGTGGCTTTGGAAAGTGATGTTGAAAAGTGACGTTGAAAAGTAGTTATGAAAAAAGATGTTGAGAAATGTCATTGAAAAGTGAGAAGTGTCGATGAAAAGTGACGTTGAAAAGTGAAGTTCGAAAGTGATGTTGAGAAGTGTCATCAAAGGTGTGTCGCGTCAATTCAGTCGTGAAATGATGTCAGAAGGATGGAGTTAAAATCCATAGGTATTTAGTCAACGAGTGAGGCTTAGAGACAAGGCCGAGTTTCTGCTGAAACCAAGAGTTTAGATGAGGTGAAAGGTCTGATGCAGATCAACTTAATATATGAAGACGGAAAACGTTGCTTCAGATGGGTCATGGAGACAAGATGTGGATTGAGAGAATGTGCAGATGAGCTGATGTAGTTTGTCTGAAGAGTGGTGATGAGAAGTGGTGAGATATTGTGGTTTGACTGATGATTTGCAGGTTAAGAATTGCAGTTGAGACGTGCAGATGTGGATGGATTTACGGAAATAAAATGGAAGAGCTTCAGCACCAAAATCAGCAGTCAGAGGTCCAGCAGATGGGAGAAAGCAACAGGAGCAAAAAAGGTGCAAGGCTTAGGGTAACACAGGGGCCAAAGGCGTTGATGGGTTTTATTTAAGGGCCGAAACAGTTGAAAGGCTTTTGATAACACAGGGTCCAAAGACATCAAAAGGTTTAGGGAAACACGGGCTGAATACGTTGCAGGGTTTGGGGTAACATAGGGGCCAAAGATGTTGAAGGGTTTAGGGTTACACAGGGGCCAAAGACATAGAAAGGCTTTGGATAACACGGGCTAAAGACGTTGCAGGGTTCGGCGTAACATGCGCGCCAAAGACGTTGAAGGGTTTCGGGTAAAACAGATGCCAAAGACGCTGCAGTAGCAGACAGGGACAGCAGGTGCCAAAGCAGAGCAGCTACAGACAGCCATCAGAGCAGCATGTGAACAGCATCACTCATCAGCTTGCCTGGTGTAATTGTGAAGAATGAATTGCCCAGCATAATTAGTCCAGATGTTGCATCAGCTCCTGTGGTAAAACGGAGGATACGGGACGACCAGCCACCAGCCACGAGCACCAGGACCAGCCAACAGCCACCAGCAACCCAGCAGAAGCAGGAGCAGCACCTCAAAACGCACAGCAGCTACACAGGGTCACTCATCAGCTTGCCTGGCTTGCTCTTGATTAAACCCACCACCAAGCATTGATCCGTATGTTGCATACGCACGCTCCTGTGGTGTTCAAAGAAAACACGGGACCACGAACCACCAGCACCGCACCAGCCACGAGCCACCAGCACCAGCCACTACAACCCAATAAGCAGAAGCAGGAGCAGCACCTCAGAACGTACAGCAGCTACACAGGGTCACTTATCATCTTGCCTTGCTTTGTCTTTCATGAATCCACCACCAAGCATTCACCCGGACGTTGCATCAGCTCCTGTGGTGTTGAAAAGAGGATGCAGAACCCTGAACCACGAACCACCAGCACCAGTGACTAAACACTACCACCCAGCAGAAGAAAGAATAGCACCAAGGCAGCAACACACAAGCAGAGGCGAACAGCAGCTACACAGCACCACTCGTCAGCTTGCCTGACTTCTCTGCTGTCTTGAATCGGCCCACCACACAATCAATCCCCGGCCAATTCCATCAGCTCCTGTAGTTTGAAGTATGGGAAAAGGGAGCAACCAGCACCAGCCACCAGCACAAGCCTCGCAGCAGCAGGAACAGCAGCAGTGCAGCAGGACACGAGCAGAGACACACAGCAGCCACACCGCTACAGCATCAACTGGTCTGACTTCCGTCACAGCTTCCCTCTTCAACAAACCGCCAACCACCACCCGCCATCTGCACCTTAACGTCGACACAGCAACCTTCGCATCAAGCTCCTCATCAACCAAACCATACGCCCACGAAGAGAAACCACAAGAACCAGGAACAACAGCACCTATACACCAAGAAGACACTCAAAAACCAAGAACAGCCCCCAACTGCACTGCAGGGGTAGGCACACTGTGACGTGGCACTCTTGTGAAACCTCCCATATCAGCTGACAAAAAAATTAACAAAATCGCTCTTCCTTAGCTCTCATCCTCACCTGTCCAGCCCAGACATAGCAGCTTTTTCCTCCACCACCCTCTCATGTCTACCTCCACTGCTCACATCACCTGTCGACCTTTCCCCAACACCTTCCCCCAAGACCTGTTGACACAACAGACAGTTATTATCACCTATTTACCAACCACTCCAGCCAAAACCGCCAGCACTACCTCCCTCACTTCACCCGCCGCCCAAGCTGAACCAGCTACCACTAACTCACTCCAAACACAACAGCTACTGCCCAACCATCAACATTTCCACCTGTTACCATCACAGCTACCTGTCACAACACCGGCCGCCTCTTGCCTCCTTCCACCGCACATCCCCAATTGGAGCCTATCCACTTCGTTGCACACGCCCCCATCACTACGCCTCAGTCTCAGAAAAGAAGTTAAGACCGCCGTTCGCGACAGTCAACCACTCTACACCCATAATCGGATTGTCCTGCCAGAAATCCTCAAGAACTCCTCCGCCAGACCTCTTTCAGGCGAACTTCCCTCTCGATCCCAATCCCTCGCATTGCCACACACCACTCGTCCCACTCGCCCTGCACCGTCCCACTCGCCCTGCACCGTCCCACTCGCCCTGCACCGTCCCACTCGCCCTGCACCGTCCCACTCGCCCTGCACCGTCCCACTCGCCCTGCACCGTCCCACTCGCCCTGCACCGTCCCACTCGCCCTGCACCGTCCCACTCGCCCTGCACCGTCCCACTCGCCCTGCACCGTCCCACTCGCCCTGCACCGTCCCACTCGCCCTGCACCGTCCCACTCGCCCTGCACCGTCCCACTCACCCTGCACCGTCCCACTCGCCCTGCACCGTCCCACTCGCCCTGCACCGTCCCACTCGCCCTGCACCGTCCCACTCGCCCTGCACCGTCCCACTCGCCCTGCACCGTCCCACTCGTCCTGCACCGTCCCACTCGTCCTGCACCGTCCCACTCGCCCTGCACCGTCCCACTCGCCCTGCACCGTCCCACTCGCCCTGCACCGTCCTCAACCCTCTGTTCCAGCGTTTGCAGCATTACAGTACATGCATAGCAGCAGACGTGCAGACCACCACAACCAACTCGTGCATAAACTCCACGCGGTCATCATTCTCCCTCTCGTCCCATCTGCAGCCACTCCACATCGCCCAATGGTCCCAAGCAGCCCAGCTGCCTGCGGTTGCACGTGCAGGCGCGGAAGCCACATGTCCGCCACCCCGCCCGTCCGCCCCCACGCCCGCCGCCACCCCGCCCAAACACTCATCCGCCATGCGGCCAGCCGCGCCAGTGTCCCGCTCCCACGCGTCCCACCAGCTTATCTCATCAACATGCAAGGATTGTTGGCGAGTGTCAAAACCAGTGCAGCCTGTGGTTGTCCCAGCAGACGTGCAGACTTGGTAGACACACTCACGCTTGTCCCGAATCCCGTGATCACCCATGATACACCCGTGATGCCCCTGCCCACCGCGCACCCGTCCGCCGTGCGCCCATCCGCGCTCGCCCCGAATCCCGTGTCCCTCTCTCCCACGCGTCCCGCGAGCTTATCAATTCAACCTGCAAAATCTGGGGGTTCGCTGAGGGTCGACCAGTTGCAGCCTGTGGCTGTCCCAGCAGACGTGCAGACGCAGCAGACACCTCTCAACCCATCCAAGTCCGCCGTATGTCCCACCATGCGTCCACCCGCGCTCACAAGCTCGCAAGCTCGGGTTCCCTCAGTGTCCCGCGCGTCCCACCAGCTCATCACTTCAACCTGCAACAAATCTAGGGTTTGGCAAGTGTCGACCAGTGGCAGCCTGTGGTTGTCCCAGCAGACTTGCAGACACATCCGACACATGCGCCCCACGCCCGTCTGCCAATCCGCCACGCGCTCATCCGCGCTTGCGCACATCCGCACTATGCCCATCCGCCATGGGCCCATCCGCCATGGGCCCATCCGCCATGGGCCCATCCGCCATGCGCCCATCCGCCATGCGCCCATCCAACGTGCGCCCATCCAACGTGCGCCCATCCGACGTGTGCCCATCCAACGTGCGCCCATCCAACGTGCGCCCATCCAACGTGCGCCCATCCAACGTGCGCCCATCCAACGTGCGCCCATCCAACGTGCGCCCATCCAACGTGCGCCCATCCAACGTACGCCCATCCAACGTGCGCCCATCCAACGTGCGCCCATCCAGCGTGCGCCCAACCGCACCGTGCGCCCAACCGCGCCGTGCGCCCAACCGCGCCGTGCGCCCACCCGCGCCGTGCGCCCATCTGCGCCGTGCGCCCATCCGCGCTTGCGCCCATCCGCCCATTCCCACCGCGAGTGTTGCCCCCTCCACGCCCTTGTCTGTCTCAGCAGACGCGTGCAGCTGCAGCACACACTCTCCCCCGCTCGTGCACTCCCGTCCAAGCCCGCCACATGCCCGGACACACACCCGGCCACCGAACACGCGTCCACCACACCCCACAGTGCACCCACCCGCGCCAGTACCATTGTGGCTGTAAAACTGAAGTTGCCCCAGTAGCCCAGCAGACACGCAGACAAGCCAACGAGTTGCCAAGCAGACGCTGGAAACAAGAACCTGCAAGTGCAACGGGGCTGGCGCATGTCTCCCTGCAGCAGACGTGCCAATAGCAGACCATTCCGTCCGCGTTCCCCCGCACCAGCCGACCGCAAACCATCCCACCAGTCGCCATACGTCCACCAGAGCGACCTCATTCCACCTGCGCGCTAGCCCGCGCGCTCGCCACTGGAGCCCGCGGTAGTGCAGCAGACCAGACGCCACATGTCAACCACGTCCGCCCCGCTGGCGACCATCCCACCGGTCGCCATGCGCCCACCGAGCGCAGAACCTCCCGCGCGCCCGCCACTGGAGCCCGCAGTAGTGCAACAAACCAGACACCAATCAGTGCGTCCTGCACATGCAGACAACAGCAGACCATCCCGTCCGCGTTCGCCCCGCACCAGCCGCCACCCACCAGTCGCCTCTGCAGCCTGCGGTGTTGCAGCAGACCAAATGCCAAGACATGCAGCCATGCAGATGTGCAGACGCCACGCTATGCAGACGAGCATATGGCACTGCAACCCACACCCAGCGGGCCTCAAAAACCTGCAATGGGAAGGGGATTGGGTGGGTGTCTCCCGTTGCCGCCCGCGGTTGTCCCAGCAGACGTGCAGACAGCAGCCACTCGCCACTCGATCCCACACCCGTTCGCACTCGCCCGCGTTTCCAGTACGCACAACTGCTTGTCGCTCGCACGCGTGCGTCCTCACAAATGCACGCGTTTCCATTACGGCAGCACGCTTGGTGCACCAATGCAGACAGCAGACACGCGCGTCCCTCACGCCGCTCGCCCTCCAGCAACCGTCAACTTTCGTCCCTACTTCCTTCTTACTTCCTTCTTACTTCCTTCTTACTTCTCACGACCTGCAAGGGAAGGGGATTGGGTGGTGGGTGTCTCCCGTTGCAGCCCGCGGTTGCAGACGTGCAGACAGCAGCCACGCGCCACTCCCTCCCACCGTGTTCGCGTCCGTCCAAATTTCCAGAAGTCGCTCGCCACCCGCACGCCCCCGCGCGTGCATCCTCACGCGTCTTCCCACGCGCCCCCGCGTTCGCATTCGCCCTATTCTCCATCCGCGCACCCGCTCGTCTCGTTGTCCATACACCCCTGCCTGCGCGTGCATCCTCGTGGGTCTTCCCATTGCAGCCGTGCAGACGGCAGGCAGACACACGCGCGCGTCCCTCTCTCACGTCGCTCGCCCTCCACCCTGCATCACCTCCACCAACCGCACTTCACACTGCCTTCGTACTTCCTTCTCACGACCTGCAAGGGAAAAGGGGTTCGGTGGGTGTCTCCCGCTGCCGCCTGCGGTTGTTCCAGCAGACGTGTAGAGAGCAGACACACACGCACAGCCCCCACCAGCCTTCCTGCTCACGTTCCGCTCGCTCGCGCCCCATGCTCTGAACCTCCGTGCGTCTTCCCATCAGCGCCCGCGGTTGTCCCAGCAGACGTGCAGACGGCAGACGCGCGCCACTCGTTCGTTCCTTGTGCCCGTGTGTCTTTTTGAAGCCGTCTCTGTGTGTTTTTTCATCCTGCAAGACAAGGGATGGTTCGTTGGTGCCTCCGATGCAGCCTGCGCTGGTCCCAGCAGACGTGCAGACACGCGTCATTCGTTACCGCCTCACTCGCTTGTCACTCGTGCCAATATCTCTTCAAAAGCGCCTCCGAATGTCCTTAACCTGCAAACGGGGAAATTGGTGGGTGTCTCTTGAAGCAGGCCTGTGGTTGTCCCAGCAGATGTGCAGACAGCAGACACACACGTGCGCGCTCCCTTTACCCGCCCGCGTCTTCTGGTTGTCCTACTCGCTCGTTTCCCTTCTTCATGTTCACTCGCGTCTTCCCATCAGCACCTGCGGTTGTCCCAGCAGACGTGCAGACAGCAGATGCGCAACACCCGCTACGACCGACCCTCGCCCCACGCGCGTTCACGCCTCAAGCCCGCACTCCTGTGTCTTCCCATCAGCACCCACGCTTGTTCAACGGACGTCCAGACAGCAGACACAACCACCGACTCCCATCCAACGAGTTTGCTTCTTTGCTTCTCAACCTGCAAGGGGGATGGCGAGTGTCTCCCGTCACCGCCTGCGGTTGTCCCAGCAGACGAGCAGCCAGCAGACACACGCAACTTGTCACGGCCGTCGCCTGCGCGTTCACCCCTCGAGCCCACACCCGCGCCCTCGTGTCTTCCTATCAGCACCCGCGGCTGTTCAACGGACGTGCAGACAGCAGACACGCAGCCTCACATCCAACGCGTTTGCTTCTCGACCTGCACGGAAAAAGGGTTGGCGAGTGTCTCCTGTCACCGCCTGCGGTTGTTCCAACAGACGTGCAGTCAGCAGACACGCGCCAATCAATACCGTTCCTCGCCCCACCCTCGTTGGTCACTCGTGCTCGCTCGGCCCGTGCACCTTCTCAAATGCCCCTCTGGTGGTGCTTCAAGATCCTGCAACAAAGAAGGGGGGGTGTCTTCTCCTGCAGCCTGTGGTTATCCCAGCAGACGTGCAGCCAGCAGACACGCGCCACTCGATCCCGCTCGCGTTCGCCCACACCCGTTCTTCTCTCCCTCGCGTTCGCCTGGAACCCGTTTTAGCACAGCCGCCACAGAGCCACCGGTTTTAACCTGCAAACACAAGCGCATCCCGTGTGTCTTCCCGTCTCAGCCGGTGGTTCTTCACTCGGCCGTGCAGACAGCAGACACATGGCGTCCATTCGTTGTGTGTTCAAGCCCCGACCAGCACCCCGCCCTTTGCGCCTCAACGGTCGCTCGCCCACAGTGCTTCCTAGACCCGCCACACCCGGTCGACTTGCACGCGTTCGTTTCAGCAGAAGCAGCTGCCCCAACGAATACGCCGACAGCAAAAAGTTTGTCTCAGCAGTGCAGGCTACCCTCTCCCCAGCACGCTCTCTCCCTGCCCTGGACGCACAGAAAAGCAGCACACACAGCAACAGCAATACCAAGCAACAACCACCTCCCTATCCCATTAACAGCTACAGTTCGCGAGGAAATATGCACGAGGACTAGAACGTTGCAGCAACTATAATCTGATCTATGCGCAACAAACACTTCAAACACACCAGCTTCGGTTGGGCGGACTTTACGCGTAATTACAGGCGATGATGACCAATGGCAAACAACACGAACAGCAGGATGAACGCAACGATGCAGACACGAGGACGCGGTGGTAGACGCGTAGATGGAAGCAGAGGAGTGGACGAGTAGACAGTGGACGGCAGAGCAGAAGCAGAGACGTGCAGACAGCAGGCGGAGAGACGCAGGAGTTCAGCAGGAGCAGCAGACAGCAGCGCGAGGAGAGGCACAAAGCAGGCGCAGGTAGAGATGGCGCAGGGGGGGCGCGGAAGGGAAGCGCGGCAGAGAGGCGCGGCAGAGCTCGCGGCCTGGACGGGGGACGGGGGGAATATGGCTAGCGGGGCGAGAGACGCGGAGAGAACACAGGTTATGGGGCCAGGGGGGCCCGGGGGAGGGGGGGGGCGGGGAGGGAGCGGAGGGGAGGGAACGGAGGGGAGTGCAAACCAGGAGAGAGCCAACAAGGCAAGGAAGAGAGGCCAGAAGCAGGGACGTCTAGAGCACTGCATGATGGTCAAAGGAGGCAGCAGCGAAGAATCAAAGAACTAGAGTCACACTGCATTAGAACACAAGAGTCACACTGCATTGGGAGCCTGACGAGTGCCAAAACGCGGCTGAACGGGAAGGGACGCCAAAGGGAGAGGTGAGGGAACGCGGCCTGTGGGGACGAGAGCGGTGTGGCTTGGAGAGGAAGGGAAACAGACACAGGTTATGGGGCCAGGGGGCCCAGGGGAGGGGGAACGGGGGGAGAGAGGGGAGGGGAGGAGAGGAGGGAGGAACGCCAACAGGGAGGCCAGGAGAACTCGAAGCTACAAGACAGCCAAAGAGCACCAACGTCTGACACACTGAACGATGGACGGAGGGAGCTGCGATGGTCAAAAGGTGTACTGAAGAGCACAGGAGACCTAATGAGGAGCACGGAACACCTGACCGGCTGGAACCAAGCATCCGACACATCCGAGGACGGTTAGACGACCAACGAGAGGCCGTAGAACGCACCCTGTGGGAACTACGCGGTGTGGCCACAGAAGGGAGGAAGGAGACAGAAGGTTACAGGGCCAGGGGGCCCCAGGGAGGGGAGGGGGAACGCCAACCAGCACTCGTGTAACGCATGGAACGGACTAGGGTCGAGGTCACAGCTTGAACAGACTGATATAGACTGGGCGCGGCACGTTGTGAATAGGAGAGTCTGATAGTCCAGGTGCGGAACGAGTGTGGCGAACATGGTTCAATCACCTATCATTATAATCTGGCGCATCTGCAGCTGACGCGTGGTTACAACCGAAACGGTCAGAGGATCTACGACAGGCGGCAGTAGGCGGCCTGTGGGGACGAACGCAGTGTGGCTAGAGGGAGGAAGGAAGGAGACAAGGTTACGGAGCCAGGGGGCCCCAGGGGGGAGGGAGGGGAAGGGGAACGCCAACCAGGAAAAGTGCACGCACAACAGAATGCGACTGACTAGAGCTGTAACGGATGGAGCTATACTGGACGCAGCAGGGGTTAGGAGAGAAATGCGTTTGAAATATACAGTTCAGCGAGGCTGAATCATTCAGTCACCGAGAGCTTGACGCATCTGTGGCTGTGCTTGAACCCGAAGGACCCGAAACACCTCGACAGTTAGACGATCGACGATAAGCGGAAAACGAGCCCTGTGGGAATGACGCAGCGTGGCTAGACGAGGAAGGAAAGAGACACAGGTTACGGGGCCAGGGGGCCCCGGGGGGGAGGGAAGGACAGGGAAACGCCAACCAGAAAAAGCGCACGTGTAACGGAATGGAACCGAAGCTACAGCTGAAATGGATGGAGCTAGACGCAGCGGGGTATGTAGAGGAACGGCATATTTCAGGTATAAAACTTCGAGTTCGTTCAGTCACCGATTGCTTGGCGCCTCTGCGGCTGTGCTCGAAACCGAAAAAAACTCGAAACGCCTAGACGTTCGACCTCAGGTGCCGGAGCAGGCTGTTAGGATGCACGCAGTGTGGCTACACGAGGGAGGAAAGAGACACAGGTTACGGGACCAGGGGGCCCCGGGAAGAGGGGGGGGGAGGGAAAAGGAACGCCAACCAAGAAAAGCGCACGTGTAACGGAATGCAACCGAAACTATGGCTGAAAGGGAAGGAACTACACTGAGGCAGCGGGGTATGAAGAAAAAAAGCAGGCGTCGGCATTTCAGATTGAATAATCGTTCTGTCACCAATTGCTTGACGCATCTGCGGCTGTGCTTGAAACCGAAAGACCCGAAACACCTAGACGTTAGACGTTCGACCTCACGTGCCAGGGCGCAGCCTGTAGGGACGAACGCAGTGCGGCTACACGAGGAAGGAAGAGGACACAGGTTACAGGGCCAGGGGGCCCCAGGGGAGGGGGGGGGACAGAGACAGGGGAACGCCAACCAGGAAAAGCGCGCATGTAACGGAATGCGATCGAGGCTACAGCTGAAACGGATGGAGCTACATTGGCGCAGCAGGGTATGGAGAAACGAAAGGCTCGGGCTTTTCAGGCAGAGGAATCGTTCAGTCACCGAATGCTTGACGCATCTGCGGCTGCGCTTGAAACCAAAAGACCCGGAACACCTAAACGGTAAATCGTTCGACCTCACGTGCCAGAGCGCAGCCTGTGGGGATGAACGCAGTGCAGCTACACGAGGAAGGAAGAAAACACAGGTTACGGGGACAGGGGGTCCCAGAGGGCGGGGGGGGGAGGGACAGGGGAACGCCAAACAGAAAAAGCACGCATGTAACGGAATGCGACCGAGACTAAAGCTGAAACGGAAGGAGCTACAGTGACGCAGCGGGGTAAGGAGACAAAAGGCTTGTATAACATCAGTGGAAAGGCTCAATCACTCAGTCACCGATTGCTGGCGAATCTGCGGCTGCAAAGTGCTTGACCCAAACCACCTACAGGGTTAATCGATCGACCACAGGTGCCAGAGCACAGCCTATGGGGATGAACGCGCAGTGTGGATACACGAGAAAGGAAGGAGACACAGGTTACGGGGCCAGGGGGCCCCAGAGGAGGGAGGGGGGAGAGAGACAGGGGAACGCCAACCACAAAAAGCGCGCATGTAACCGAATGCGACCGAGGCTAAAGCTGAAACGGATGGAGCTAGAGTGACGCAGCAGGGTAAGGAGAGGAAAGGCTTGTATAACTTCCGTGGAAACGCTCAAGGCATTCAGTCACCGATTGCTTGGCGAGTCTACGGCTGCCACGTGCTTCATACCGAAAGACCCAAAACACCTCGAAGGTTAGACGATCGACCACAGGTGCCAAAGCACAGCCTGTGTGGGTGAACGCAGTGTGGCTACACGAGGGAGGAAGGAGAGAGACACAGGTTACAGGGCCAGGGTGCCCCAGAGGGGGGGGGGGGGGGGGGGGGGGGAGGGGGGGGGGGGGGGGGGGGGGGGGGTTGCAGAGACAGGAACGCCAACCAGAAAAAAGCGCGCATGTAACAGAATGCGACCGAGGCTACAGCTGAAACGGATGGAGTTACAGCAACGCAGCAGGGTAAGGAGAGGAAAGGCTTGTAATCTTCCGTAAAAAGGCTCAATCACTCAAGCAAGTCACCAATTGCTAGGCGAATCTGCGGCTGCCATGTGCTTGACACCGAAAGACCCAAACCACCTAGACCGTACCGATCGACCACAGGTGCCAGCGCACAGCCTGTGGGGATGAACGCAGTGTGGCTACACGAGGGAGGAAGGAGAAATGCACAGGTTATGGGGCCAGGGGGGCCCCAGGGGGGAGGGGACGGGAACGGGAACGCCAACCAGGGAGAACGCACGTGTAACGCAACGAGGGAATCGAGACCGCGGCTACAGCCTAGACGGGAGGAGCTATGTTGGACGCATCAGGGCAAGGAAAGAACACGGCTTTCTTTAAAAACTGCAAGTTCAGAAGCTATATCACTCCATCACCGACTGCTTGGAGAATCTGCAGCAGACACGTGCTTGCGAGCGACACACTGAACATGAATCCTCTGCTGTGCTGCTGGCAGGGCAATCACAGCAAACAAGGGACTGCGGAGGAGAGAAAAGCACCTTAGACCCCAGAGCCCCCAACGGGGATGGGGGAAGGGGGAAAAGGGGAAGGGAGGGAGATACACAAGGAGACACGCCTACGCCAAAGCGAGGCACGCGAAGCTGAACGAGACGTAAGGTAAGAAAAGGCTGAACGAACACAACGATGGTGTCTACAATCGACCACACCGTTCGGCGTCCGCAGAGCGCAGTCCGAACTCGAGCGGAGGCGGGCGATTGGGCGAAACGAACTGGTCGCAGGCACCCTGGTGTGCTGCCGGCAGGGACCCGACGGAACGGAGGGGCGAAGAAAGGGAAACTCAAACCCCAGAGCCCCAGAAGGGGATGGGGAAGGGAGGGGCACGAGGCAAGAAAGCCTAACATCTAACGCGGCAACGAACGACAGTGTAATCCGATGGTGAGTCCATTAACGAAACGTGGAATCCACAAAAGTAAACGGCAGAACAGGGCTCGGACTACCCGATCGTTCCATTAGCACATTGTGGTGCCATGCTTCCTCCCAGTCCAGACACCTGTCCGCATGTCTGCTGGCATGACAAGAACTACGGGAACAAAGGAGGAAAGGTGAAACCCCAGAGCCCCATAAGGGGATGGGGACGAAAGGGATGCAAGACAGCAGGTCCGACACCTACGAGCAGCGACGGCCAAATTAGAGATAGTAACACGGTAAAGGCCGACCAACTGAAAAGTTGAAACTGCGATGATTCGTAGCACTAGCTACCCAATAGTTCCACAAATTGCTGGCTGAATTCCGAAGAAGACGACACCAGTCAGGACGAACGCAGGTGAAGTACTCTAGCCATGACCGTTGAAGGAACTCTCGAAAGTACTGAATTAACCGGGTGGAATGACGCGAGTTAACGCCGAGGCCGTGAGTACTGTTAGTGGGGCAACCGCACCCAAGCACCAAGAAAAGAAGAAAAAAAAAAGGTGAAAGCCCCAGAGCCCCCTCGGGGGGATAGGGTGGGAGGGAGAAGCACCCAGGCCGAAACCGACTGTTAACCATGGTAGGAACACCACCTGTTAGCGAAGGTAACCATGGTAGGAACACCACCTGTTAGCGAAGTGCGTGGAAACAAAAAAAAACACCGCACCACGCCTTCCCTTCGCCTGTTTCACGAGACCTGCGGGTGCAGAACGCGTATCCAAGCACAGGCGAACGAACTGCCACAACATTTCTAACCATCCGCTCTAATCCCAGCGAGCACAAGCAAAACCATAACCAGCGACAACCTGCGCGAGAGGAAACATGTCATCGCTATACGTTATCATATTATATACATATACATCGACGTACATCACAAGGTTAACTGACGCTCCACAAGCGATTACTCTATATAAACAAAATATCAACACAAGTTAGATAAGCGCAACGTACGGCCCACAGGCACTTAGCACGGAAACTTCGCTCTTCACGACGCTCAAGACGGAATCACGACTGAGAGTCGACTCTTCGACGGCAACACCCAAAGTGCTCAACTCGCTTTATAGAATCGTTATCACGCTTCAATAGCTCAACGTGGCGAAACATCTGGGACATAGCGACCCTAGGGCGAACTGGTGACGAGCCCTTCGTATCTTAAGCGTCGAAAGGCCAAACCGAATTCGACTAGGCATTTGTAACCAGCTGACTTCGAAGAAGAAGCCTCAAAAGGGACGGGAACTGACGCGACGTCAAATTCACAAATCAACTTCGACAGTAACCTCAACCTAAAGAATAGGACGACCGAACGGTCCAACCAGTACTGAAACGACAGAACTCGGGAGAAAGAAACTCAGACGCCATCAACAAATCACGGACACCTAACCAAGAGATCATCACGGCGTATTTCTCACAGCCAGATGGACCCAAGGTAGCGCGTCACGAGACGTCCCTCCCAAGCCACGGAACTACGGAGAAGAAAAATCAAGAAACCGAAACTGTGCAGGAAGAAATGAAGCTGCAAGAAAGGGATGTAGGTGAATGAAACCCCAAGAAAGGGATGGAAGGGAAGGAGGATGGATGGGATGGGAGGGTGAATAATTTCGGGACTTCCCTGCGACATTGCTTAGCGACACCGGCGACCCGAAATCACGGTTCTTGCTTCCAGACCACGGAAGCCTTATCTCGAGCCTTCGGTGATGGAAACAGCCACCATCGATTGGTCAGAATAGAACCGGCAGATGCACAGCTGGCCTCGGACCCCGC